CAGCAGGTCCAGGCTGCAATGCAAGCTGTTCTGTCACATGACCTTATTATCCAGGATAACCAATGGTATTGGAAGTGACTGTGGTAGTCAGGGACATTGTACAGAGTCTCGTAGAAGCCTCCATAAGAGACACACAGTGGAGTAAGTCTATACCCTCTTTTGCCAACAACAATTTTCTATGTGAAAAACACCCTGGCTTACTGTTGGGCACTGATAGAGACTTAATGCTTGATCACAGAGCATCAAATGACTATACATTACCAACTGCTAATTGTGTACTGGTTGTTATTTGATCCACTAATTCATAAAATTGGAAATACAAACCAAAATCCCATTGTAAAAGCAAGTTTAGAAGAGAAGTAAATTCCATGTGCAAGTGACTTGGATCTCAGTACCTATTCTTCTTGCTTCACTTCCTCTCCCTCAACCTATATTTGTGGCCTCATGGAAATTCTCTATGGCCAGTTAATAGATGAGGAACAATTAAAGAACTGGATAACAGATAGGCCTGCCCAGTGTGTGGGCACCAGTCAAAAGCAAATAGTTTTCACTTACACCCCTACTCAGGGGTGGCCTCAAACACATTGGTGAAGGCAAATCTTCTCAGTGGGCAGTATTTCAGGTATATATCTGGTTGTCTCCTTTTCAGGAAAGGTAACACAGTCTAAGATACATGTATATATTGATTCATGGGTGATCATGAATCAGTAGATATTGACTAATGGATTATCTGGTTAGTTAGTTACCTGAAAAGAACAAAATTGGAAGACTAGAAACAAGGATCCTGGGGGAAGAGTTTGAGGATGGACCTTCTGGAATGGATAAAGAACGTGAATATATTTGTGTCCCATGTGAATCATCACCAAAGGGCATTCACTATGGAGAAGCCTCTCAATCAGATGGACATGATAATCCATATTATGAATGTCAATTAGCCTCTTTTACAATGCTTATCCAATGGACTCATGTACAAAATAGTCATGGCAGCAGGGACAGAGTCTATATACGGGCTCAACAATATGGACCTCCCCTCATCAAGACTGACATGCTATAGCATCACTACTGCTATATCCCCAGGCAGTCAACAGCCAAGACCAACACTAGGCCCCTAATAAAGTACCATTCCCTGGAGAGGAACCAGCCAGCCACTGGGGGCAGATTCATCACAATGGACCACTTCTATCATGAAAAGGGTAGCAATTTCTTTTCAAAGGATTAAATACATAGTACAGATACAAATCAGCATTGACTTAAGATAATGCTATGTTTATTGCCATGGTATTCTCTGCAATACTGCCTCCAAAGAATTCATTTTACAGGGATGGAAGTACAGTAGTAAGCTCATATACATGTATTTCATGTGTCTTACCATATTCCCATCACCCAGAAGAGGACTGAGATAATGATGGAATGATCTACCGAAGACTCAATTATGGTGCCTGCTGGGCAACAACGCCCTGTAAGTTTGGGGTGCTGTCATACAGGATGCAATATAAGCCTTAAACCAAAGAACAACAAACAGTTTTGTCTTTCCAATGGCCAGAATACGTTCATAGGTATAGGAACTGAGGGTGGAGGAATAGCAAGACTGGCTTCTCTCACTATATACCTAGTAATTCACTTGTATTATTTTGGCTTCCTGTGCCTATAATGTTGGGCTTGGTGAGTTTGGGATTCTAGTGCTTAAAGGAGAAATGCTTCCACCATGGAATAAATTGAATGTTAAATTTGAATGTGAGACTACCTCCTGGCCATTTTGGGATTCTCATGCTGTGAAGCCAACAGGTACAGAAGGGGTCACTCTACTGGCCAGAATGACTGATCCCAATTACCAATGGGGAGCTGGTTGTTGCTACATATTAAGGGCAAGAAAGAATATGTCTGGAACTCAGAGGATTTACTGGGGTGCCTCTTAGTTCTCTCATGTCTAACAGGCCTGTTAATGGTATACTATAGTAGCCTGAAAGAGAATTACCAAGGACTCAGATTATCCAGGAAAGAAGGTTTATATCACTCAACTAGGTAAAGAACTCTCTGTTACTGAGATGCTGGCAGAAGGTGAGGGAGATATGAAATGGGTGATGGAAAGAGATAGTTATGATTATCAACTTAGGCTTTAAGAACAGCAAAAACTGTAGCAATTATGTTTTATGTTAATTATGTCTTTTCCACTTTTCCTTACTACCTTATATGAAGAGCACTAATAGTAGTTAAATTCTAGGTTTCAGGTGGGAGTTTTACTTAATTTTATGTCAACCTGCAATGAAATGATAGCTTAAGGGACTTTGTTTTTCTGCTGTGTTGGGAACATAATAATCTGAGCAAAGGACAAAAATGGATATTGTAGAATAAAAGGGGCGGACTGTAATGAACATTCTCCTTTCACCCCTCCAGGTCTATTCTCTACCCTGCTCTGTGCCCTGGAATGTCGATATTGATGGACTGTATTACCTGGGGTTCTATTCTCTCTGGGCTGTAATTAGATTTGGACAAAAGTGGGAGAATAATAGAGTGACCAACTATCTTGGTCAGCCCAAAACTGAGGGGATTATTGGGATGTGGGACTATCAGTGCTAAATCCCTGGCAAATGGGGATGAGTTGCTCACCCTACATCCTGGCTCCCTTGTTGCTAGGCAAGAGTTGGAAGTAACTGTGCTTCTTTTAGCACAGGCTAGAGCTCCTATTGGGTGCCTCTATCTTACAGCTGCACACCTGAGGATTTGGTAATCAATCTCTCCTCTTGTCACTTAAGGCCTAAAGGTAGTAACTTCTCCACATTGTTGTTTGCCCCAATGCAGCTCTCCACCCCTTGTTGATTTCTGTATTCCTGACCATATTCATCATGAAACTTTGAATTACCCCACTGGAATGAACCATCTGTTTCCTGCTAGAATCCCAACTGATACATCCTAGTTTAATTTCTCTATGACCATTATCATTATCTTATAACATAATGTACATTTATTTATTTTCTGTTTCCCCTACTAGAATGTAAGTTATTTGAGGATAAAGGCTTTGTCAGTTCCGTTAACTGTTAGAACAGTGCCTGACACAGAGTACATCCTCAATAACTAATGATAATATTATATATCTAGTAATAATAAGCTATGATCTTATTAATTCATAAACAGTTATCAACAATAAATATTTGTGCAATTAGTTAAATGATTTGAAGGATACATTAATGTTAGCAGTGACTATTTTTATTTTTATTTTTATTTTTATTTTTTTAAAAAGATGACCGGTAAGGGGATCTTAACCCTTGGCTTGGTGTTGTCAGCACCACGCTCAGCCAGTGAGCAAACCAGCCATCCCTATATGGGATCCGAACCCGGGGCCTTGGTGTTATCAGCACCGCACTCTCCCGAGTGAGCCACAGGCCGGCCCAGCAGTGACTATTTTTAGATTGTGAAGTTGTAGGTTAAATTTTCTGTTTTGTGTTCTTCTACACTACTACAAATGGACTTTAGTATAATTGTATTACTCTTTAATAAAAAATATGATTTTATACACAGTCTAAGAGACATAAACACATGGAATAAGTATATCAATTTATGTAAAACTGCAATGAGAAGGACCAATTCTGCAGTGATTCTCAGTAAAGATGAAAGCTAAATGCCTTAGAATAGATTTTTTTTTTAAACATTCAAATAATAGGACTTTACTGTGAAGAGAAAATATGTACCAGTGTGTTCATGGGCAGTCTTGAAAATGAGAACCACCTAGAATAGATTCTTAAGGAAGGAAAAATTCTAAATACAGGTGAGAAAAACAAAATAAAAGAAATAAAATAAATGAAGCAGAAGATCTAGAATGAAGGAAAGGTACAATGGAAGGTGAATTTCACAGGCAAAACAAGCAGCAACAGGAGGACCAAAACCAAAAAGTAACATATGATGTGGAGACGAGACCCTGCAGAACATCTGAACAAAGTCAGGATCAAAATGATCTTACTAAAATAATAGTGGCTACTATTTATAAAGAGTTTACTATGAGCCATGTCTGTGCTCAGAGCTTTACATAACAAGATCTCATATAGTGTTTGTGGTATTTGTTATTTGGGTAATGGACTCCAGTGAATCCTGTCTTTCAGTGTCTATATCCTTGTGTAATTCCCTTCCACAATGACTCTGGAACTGGTCATGTGACTTACTTTGGTCAATAAATCATTAACAGATGTAACACAAACATAGGTAAGAAACAAGCTTATGTACTAGAGAGCTTGCCCTCTCTCTGACTTCGGAAACTAGCTGCCCAGTGAAAAAGTCAGGCTAGCCTGCTGGAGATATAGATAGCACCACCAGTCAGACATGATTGAGAGCATCTTTGACCCAGGCTCCAGTAGAGCCACTATATAACTACATGAGTGACATCAGACAAGAACAAAAGAAAAAAAACTGCCCGGCTGAACCCAGCTCAATTTGATGACCTACAAAACCATAAAAGATAACATGGTTTAAAAGTGTTTGATGTTTTACATCACTAAGTTTTGGGGTCCTTTATTCTGGAGTAATAGACAAACACAATTCTCAAAATAACCTTCAAGGTATGAATTATTATACATGTATAGAGTGAAGAAACAGAATCATAAAATATATAACTTACTGAAGCTAGTAAGTGACAAAGTTGGTATTTGCATTCCAGGTTGTCAGACTCCAAAACTTTTAACTATGCCCCTATAGTAGATGAGAAAGATGACTTGAAAAGATTTTAAGGGGGAAGTACCAGACACTGACTGATTAGTAATAAGGTGATTATAAAGAGAAAAATGGATGACTTTAGAGTCTTAAAAAAAGAGAGGAGGGAACTGCATGAGAATGTGGTTGCTGGAATTCTAAATAAGCCATGTGACTATGCTTAGAGCACTAAAGAGGTGGTATTGCCTAAGAGAGTGATGGTGTTGGCAATGAAGAATAACTACACCATTTGAAAACACTAGCATAGAGTGGCACACCCCCTCCCCAAACCTCTAAGAAGGATACAATACATAGCTTCTTACCCAACAGAACGTGGTGTTCTTGAGATTCATAATTGAACTGGATCTCCATGGGCTGCAACTGGACACCTCAGGGACCAACTGGAGAATTACCATTTCCTCTGCAAGTTTTTCTCTTCCATGTAAGGGTTTGAGTCCTAGAGGCAACTGGGCACTGCTGGGCTTCGAAGGAAATCATTGTGCAGACTAGAGATGTAATTTCTGAGACAAGACTACCAGAAACATCCCCTAGATATAAAAGAAGGAAAGGAGGAAAAAATCTAATTTAATTACCAAGCCCTTTTCACTCAGAATTTATTAAGCTTCGTCCGTCACCATCCAGAAGTCAGACATTACCCTTCTTGGACACACAAACAAAATTGGGGGTTAATGCTACCGAAATAGGGGTACAACCAGAAAGATGACACAGAGGAGGGAATTTTATAATTTGTCCTAGTGGTTCACACTTATTCTCCTATACAAAAATGACACTACTGCTCGATCATCATGATCTTTCTTTCCCTCCTTCTCTTCCTCCAACACTCACAAATTCAGGTTTCTCTTTCCCGGTACGGTCGGCTGATTCGTGTGGATGCGTCTCCGCTTCGTGATTCCACCCGCCCCCAGTTTCTGCGTGCACGCAGTCGGACCCAAGGCCTGGCGAGGGCTGAGCCGTCACCAGCAGCACACCAGGGCAAGCACCGACAGCTCTCCGTGCCCGGGAGCGAGCCGCGGCCTTGACGCTTCATGGACTCGAGAAACGGCTTCCTGGTGGCGCTGCGAGGCCTCTCGTTAAGCGAGATCACCCCGGATTCCGCGGCCTTCCGTGGACCGACATCACGCGTACCTCCACGTGGTCTCCCGACCTCTGTCAAGCCTCTCACCCGGCGAACCCGCCATCGCCCTGTCCGCTCTAGGAATCTGGGAGTATTGCTCAGCTCTATGGCGCATCATCGCGCATGCGCGAGACGAAAAAATTGGTGGGGAGGGTTGCGGAGAATTAACCCCTGAAAGTCCGCGAAGCTGCCCCCAGCAGAGCCTTGGTGAGGAACCTGCTTGGCCAGCGACAGAACCCTTTGCTCCCCTGTCTGCCCGTTCTTGAGGTGAATGTCGGAATGCATTATCTTTCGGGAAAGCTCTCTGGGGCAGGGTAGGTTCTCTGACTACATAATGAGGTCTTCATTAGTTACCTTTTTTTATAACCACCCCTCCCCCATCCTTTGATCTGATTTGCAGGTGTGCTTCCATTCGAACTTTCTTCTTGTCCTCTCTTTTTTTTCTCCCTAGCCCAGAGCAGGGGCGTGCATCAGAATCACCTGGAGACCTTGTCAGAATACTGATTGCTGCCCTTCACCCGGAGAGTTTCTGATTCAATAGGTCTGGGGTGGGAGCCCAGATTCTCAGGTGATCCTGATACTACTGGTCCTGGGCCCACACTTTGAGAACCGCTGTCCTGTGAACAAGTGATGCCCAGCGATTACTCCCTGAATTGCTGGAAAACTGGATTTTCATCTACTTTGCCATTTAGAAAGGGCACAGGGTCTCTTTATAAAAAGTTCGTTTGCCAGTACAATCCTTCTCATTGTGGCCAAAGAATCAGGGTGAGAAGAAGGACCTGAAACTGGGGGAGGTGGGGCGCATCAGCGTAGAAAAGGATCTCGCTGTTGCTATGTCCATGGGAAAATCTTGGGAAATGAGGAGGAGCTGGGAGAAGGATTGAGACCAATGAGACATGTGACTTGCGTTGAGATGTCAGGGGAAAGGGACAGGTTTGAGAAAATGGTGGATGGCTGAAATGATGGTTGAAGAAGAGTGCTTCCTTTCTCAGCCCAAGATCCTCTTCGGATATATTAACACATCTTAGAGATGGATGAATGAGATCCTAATATACCTGTAAGGAGAAAAAGGGGGGTCCCTGTTTCTGTCCAGCCTTCCCAAGCAGTGAGTGTGGGTACTTTTTTAAAAACAGCTTTATTGAGGTATAACTGACATATAATAAACAGCAAATATTTAAAGTATATAATTTGATAAAGTTTGTCAAATGTATATGCTGTGAAGCTATCACCACAATAAAAACAGTGAGCACATTTATCAACTCCAAAAGTTTCCTCCTGCCCCTTGGTAATTTCTCCCCCTTCCCCCACCACTGATCTGCTGTTGCTAGAGGTTAGTTTGCATTTTTGAGAGATTTATTTAAATGGAATCATACAGAATGCACTCCTTTTTTTGTCAGACTTCTTTGAACATTATTATTTTGAGATTTACCTACAGTGCTGTGTGTGTACCAGTATCAATAGTTCACTCATTTTTGTTGCTGAATAATATCCCATTGTATGTATATACCACAATTTTCTTATCCATTTATCAGCTGACGGGCATTGGGTTATTTCCAGTATTTTACTTCTACAAATAAAGCTGTTAATATTTGTATACAAGTCTTTATGTAGACATATCCTATTTTTCCTATCTTAAGGTAGGTGTGTTTAATGTTTTCAGAAACTGCCATATTCTTTTTCAGAGTGGCCGTACCATTTTGCATTAGCATCAGCATGCATGAGATTTCCAGTTCCTCCACATCCCTTACCAACTCACTGTGTATCTCACTGTTATTTTAATTTGCATTTCCTAATGATTAATAATATTCAACATTTTTTCATGTGCTTATATGCCATCTGTATATATTACAAGTCTTTTGCGCATTATAGACACAAGTCTTTTATAAGATATATACTTTGCAAATATATTGCGGCTTTGGTTTTCTTTCTCTTAACAGTGATTTTTGAAGAGCAGCAGTTTTAAGTTTTGATGAAATACATTTTATCATTTGGTTCTTTTATGGATCATGCTTTTGGTATCATACATAAGAAGTCTTTGCCTAACCTAAGGTTACCAAGATTTTCTTATATCTTTTTCGTGTAGAAGTTTTAGGTTTTACGTTTTGGCCTATGATTCATCTTGAGTTAATTTTTAGATACATACTCTAAGATTTGGGTCAAAGTTTTTTTTGTGTGTATTTGTTTTGTTTTCGGCAGCTACAGGGATCCGAACCCTTGACCTTGGTATTACAGCACTGCACTCTAACCGACTGAGCTAACTGGCCAGCCCTTTTTTTGCATGTTGACATTTAATAGTTTAGCACCATTTCTTTCTCTGAATTTCCTTTAATTTTTGTCAAAAATCAGTTATCTATATATGTGTGGGTCTATTTCTGGCCCCTCTATTTTTCCATTGATCTACTTGTCTCTTTTTAGGCCAATGCCACACTTTTGATTACTCTAGCTTTATAATAAGGCTTGAAATCAAGTAGTTTGAGACCTCCAGTGTTATTTTTGTTTTGGTTATTACAGGTCCATTGGTTATTATAGGTCCATTGCATTTCCGTATGAATTGTTGAATCAGCTTGTCAATTTCTATGAAAAAACCTGCTGGGATTTTGATTGGGACTGATTTGAATCTGTAGGTTAACTTGGGGAAAATTGACATTTTGGAGTGATATTGAGTCTTCTGATCCATGAACACAATATATTTCTCCATTTATTTAGATCTTCCTTAATTTCTCTCAGCAATATTTTGTAGTTATTTTCAATATTTTGCAGATATTTTCATAACTTTTGACAGATTTATTCCTATTTCATATTTTTGATGCTACTGTTAATCTATTTTTCCTTCATATTAATTTTGATTGTTTGTTGGTAATATATAGACATACAGTTGAGTTTTGTACATTGATTTTGTATCTTGCAACCTTGTTAAATTCACTTGTCAGTTCTAGTAACATTTTTTTGTAGACTCTATCAAATATGCTACATATGTGATCAACTTTACTTCTTCCTTTCCAATCTGGATGCCCTTTTTTCCTCTGCCTGCCTTATTGCACTGGCTGGAACTCCAGTACAACGTTCAGTAGAAATCCTGAAAGCAGAAATCTTTGTCTTTTTCCCAATCATTACTGTAAAGCATTCAGTCTTTCACCATTAAGTATAATGTTAGGTGTAGTTTTTTAGTTGATGCCCTTTATCAGATTGAGGATGTTATTTTATATTTCTAGTTTGCTGAGAGTTTGTATCAGGAATGTATGATGGATTTTGTCAAATGCCTTTGATACATCTTTTGGGAAGACAATATATTTTTTCTTTTTTAGTTTATTAATATGAAGGGTTTTCAAAAAGTTCATGGAAAGATTCATATTATCTTTTAATTTTATTTTTCAACAAAATTTTTATTGTTAAACCAAACCTGCATTTCTGTAATAAACCCTGCTTGGTCCTGATATGTTATCTTTTCTATGTATTGTTGGATTTGATTTCTAAAATTTTGTTCATAATTTCTACATTTGTGTTCATGAGGAATGTTGGCTTGTAGTTTTTTATTTTTGTAATGTCTTTGTCCTAAAATTTTGTTCATAATTTCTACATTTGTGTTCATGAGGAATGTTGGCTTGTAGTTTTTTTGTTTTTTATTTTTGTAATGTCTTTGTGTCTTTGTCTGATTTTGATATCCAGGTTATGTTGGCCTTGTAGAATCAGTTTGGAAGAATACTCTGTGCTTTGATATTTTGGAATAGTTTGAGAAGAATTGGTCTTAATTCTTCATTATTAAAAATTTGGTAAAATTCAGCACTCAAGCACCTGCTCTTGCTTACCTGTCCTCTGCACGCAGAAATTCCTCCTGGGTTTCTGCTGCTCCTGGATGGAGGATGGGGTGAGAGAGGCTGGGAATTTTCTTCTATTCTCTATGTGCTTATCCTGAGTGTCTGTGCTCACTAGCATTTCTGTTACTCCGTTGATAAACTTCAGCACTTTTTTTTTTGTCTTTTTCGTGACCAGTAAGGGGATCACAACCCTTGGTGTGGCGTCGCCCACACCATTTTTTGTCTTTTTCGTGACCGGTAAGGGGATCACAACCCTTGGTGTGGCGTCGCCCACACCGCGCTCAGCCAGTGAGCGCACCACCGGCCAGTCCTATATAGGATCCGAACCTGTGGTGGGAGCGTCACTGCACTCCCAGCGCCGCACTCTCCCGAGTGCGCCACGGGGCTGGCCCTGTGGGAAGGTTTTAAACTACAGTTTTAATTTCTTTAATAGACATGGGGCTATTCAAGTTACATATTTCTTCAGAAGTAAGCTTTAGTATTTTGGTTCACTCAAAGAATTAGCCAACTTTGTTCAAGTTGTCAAATGTATTTGCATAAAGTTGTTTATAATATTACATTGTCTTTTTTGTGTCTGTAGAATCTGCAATGATGTCACCTCTCTTATTCTTGCTATTAGTAATTTTTATCATTTCCCTTTTTTCTCCAATCAGACAGGCTAGAAGTTTATCAGCTTTATCCATCTTCTCCAGCTTTAGTTTATTGATGTTTTAAAATTGTCTTTTTGTTTTCTATTTCACAGAAATTGAATTTGTAGTTTAAAAGCTTCCCACAAAGAAAACTCCAAGCCCAGAAGTTTTCACTTATTTAAATTGAGTAAGTATGCTCCTTATTATTTCCTTTTTTTCTCCTTGCTTTGGGTTTACTTTGCTCTTTTTTCTGGATACTTAAGTTAGAAGCTGAGGTCACTGATTTGAGATGTTTATTTTGTAATATAGAAATTCAGTGCTGTAAATTTTTTAGGTATTAATTTACTAACATCCCACAAATTCTGATATGTTGTGTTTTCATTTTCAGTGTTCAAAGTACTTTCTACCTTCCCTTTTGATTTCTTCTTTGACCCATGGATTATTTAGGTGTGTTCTCGGTTTCCAAATATTTGGGGATTTTCTAGAGATTTTTTCTGATATTAATTAATTTCATTGTGGTCAGAGAACATACTTTGTATGACTTGAATCCTTTTAAATCTATTGAGATTTGTTAATGGCCCAGAATATGGTCTATCTTCATAAATGTTCT